ATTTAATGTTTTTTTATAATTCAAGAGATTATTTGTAAATGTAAATTATGGTTATACCTGCGCATCGTTAAATCATATAAAAATATTCCTTGTATCTATTTATAGCCCTTTTCCCGTTTCACTCATTTCGTGGTGTGTTTTAAAAGTTTCAAAACGGTGATCATCACCTTTCTGGTCTCCAACTTATACAAGTGTACTTCCCGGAATTCTTCTGATGTGTACTAGTAAGCCGACAACTATCTCTTATTCAATAACTCAATATGATAATACCCAAACGATCTTTTGTGGTGCCAGTGGCCTATGCGAAATCGTGTCACGTTATCCTTCATGATAACTTGGGCGTGCCTCAAGTCAAGAGAAATTAAAAACCCCATTGAAGTAAAAATTGCGTACAAGAAACAACGAACAAGAATTTAACAATCGCCGTCTACGAGAATGTCTACACGATTCTCTGAGAATAGTACAATAGTTATCAGGCTAAGTACTTATAGGCCCACAAATGACAAAAAAGTGCCCGAACTCAAGATGTTTTCTTTAAGTTTTCCTCATTTTCTACAATATGAAGKTGCCCAAATCTTACTCGATACGGCCAACACCAAAGCTTATTTTTATTTGGTAATTGAGTAATCATACTCATCACATTATACTAGAATTTATTAAAACAAGAAATACGTGAACTTGAATTTGGTCGGTCATTTTCTATGGCAGCTGTATGCTCGAATATTTTACCTTTGCTTTGGATAATACTACGTGTTAAATATCATACAAGGACTTTACTTTGATCGTTCAGTTTGTATATACTATAGTGGTTCGATAGTAGTGGTTCCAAAAATTGAGCAGCTTCTTTGGAAGAAAAGCACATGGCAATTTCAGAATTTGTTTCATCGTTGCGCTCAAACCATTTAGTGCTCTCAATTAACCTACTTATGTACATATATCCCTTATGCTTTTCGATATTTGGTTGACTGAAAGGTTCCACGTGTCCTACCGGTTTCCTTATTCCTTTTTAGCTTGCAGTTGCGGCAAATATTGTTATAGAGCAAACCCATTTTTAGCGCGCTTTCATCAAAAGGTCAGTGTCCCATTATAGTAGATGTAAGTTTGTAAATATTACCTATATAATAAGTTGGTTCTAGTTTTCTTATACATGGGCTATATATGCTTCGTTATCTTGCAAGCCACGGATACCCCGACATCTTGGCTTAAGGTGATGTTGGTGCGGATGTCCTCTAACTTCCATAATAGGAGATTATTAATTATGAGTTATCTCTCTTAATTCGTTAAAGAAATGTTCGTACCCATTTGGGTTGCGCCTATTACATTTACCTAAGCCCTTTCGCCACTTAGCATACCTGTTCAGGATATAATAAAATGATTCACTCATCGTTTAATATGCAATGGTATTAAAAGGAATTTCACAGCTTTGACAAAAGTCTTAGCTTCCCATCGTATGATGAATTTGAACAATGACGGCAACGAAGGTTAGGCACGATTCCGATTACTTTGGCGGAGGGGTAAAAAAACCGAATTTCCGTATAAATGGGGTATGTCCGGATAGGGGAGATTCTCCAGAGGAGGAATATCCAAAAATAATATAAAAATTACTTATATTTTTTAAAATTTCACGATTAAAAGTTCAAAAATATGCACTAATAACACAAGGTATTTCTCTATCTTCCATTAAATTTATTCATTCAATTTTCACTCTGTATATTTAAATATACACTCTAAACATTAAAATAAGTTCATATTTCAATTTTATTTTGTAATATTTCACCTAAATTTATTAATTTCAAAATCACTTAGCGAATTCGGCGTTGCAAAGATTAGATTGTTTACAATTGTGAGGAAAACGAGCGTTGACACATCTTAAACACCAAATATGTAGGATTCTTAACGATTTTTCTTTGTTTGTTTTTTTGCGTGATTCTTTTTTCTACATTAATTATAATAAAAAATACTTTCTAACATTTTTTAAGTTAAAATTGAGTCGTGAAAACTTTTTCCACATATTAAACATTTTATATATAGTATGTATATGTATAATATGTGATTTATTTTAATAAACACATATAATTAAAACTCTATGATAATATAGTATTATAAAATTTATATAATATCATGTCGGGATGACTGAAGTACTTTCGCGTAGTACCCCTTTCTGCGTTAAAAATAAAAAAATATATTGAGTTTTTGTTATAAAGTGTGGTTATATTTGTTGGTTACCATGCACTCATATTGAAATAAAATTTGAATTTTCGTTATAAAATGAATAAAATTTAGTTATTATATCTGTCAGCGATTTCCATTTATTTTCGATTACACATTGTTTTGTATTTTAGGTGACGATACATCAATTTTTACATTTAAAATATGAGTTTTGGATATAAAGTGGTTATATTTGTTGGTTACCATGCACTCATATTGAACGAAAATTTTAATTTTCGTACTGTACTAATATACTTTACACTTTATTACGTAATGTTATTATATAATATTACTTATACATATGTATATACAATATTATTATATAATATTACTAATACATGTATATAATATTACTTATTTGCTTAATAAATTTAAAAAAGAAAATTTTCATATGCATGAATAGACTAATTTTTGCGAAAAAGAGGAATTTCAGCGAATTGCCTTATCATCACATGGCAGCGCTCCATTTCGTCGTAATTTTTGGTAAACAAATCGGGTTAAAACGAGTGTAAAATGTAATTTTTAAAATGCAGATTTTTTAGGTAAAAAAAACCTGCTAAAAGTGTAAGATATGGAGTTATTTACAAGTTTATAGTGTAATTTAATTAATTTTAAGTGAAAAATGTGAATAAAGTGTGTTTAATGTGGTGATATAGCGTCTTGAAATGTACGAATTTTGCGAATTTTTGAACTTTAAGGTCGAATATCTCCTAAACTAAGAGTATTTTTTAATCAGGAGGACTTCGTCTTTCCAAGATCTTCAGATCGCGGCGCCCAAGAAATCGGAATTGTGCCGAAGGTTACAATCGGAATTTAAAAGTAGAACTTAAAATAAACCGGTTTGAAATTTTCGACTAAATGTCGGCATGGTTAGCTTCAGTCGGGTAAAATTGAAAATACTATTAACATACAAGGGCCTGAGCATTCCTCTGGTGTGAGAACAACAGCAACTCTCTACACATATGTTTGAATATTAGCTTATTGAACGATTTAGAACTTGATTTCAAATTAATCGCACGGAATTGTGTTTAATAGTGCGCCATCTACATTTGAGTAATAACAAGTACCAAATACACGGCCCATTCTATTCTATAATTTTGTAATATAAAATATTTATAATGTAATATTACGTACATAAATACCACATATTATCCTTTTCAATATACTAATCTTTTTATATTGCAGTCTATATGTACGTACCTACACATGTTTGCATGAGAAAGTTGGGAAATTCTCAACAATTTTATTTTTATAGATAAAATGGCAAAATGGATAATATTAAAAATATATTCTCACCCAAAAACTGTACCCATACAAAAAGTTTATTATAGCGGAAATGTAGGTATCAATTTAGGTGTATAGGTGTATAGCAAATGAAAGGATATTATGGCAAAATAACCTTTGAGATGTTCAACAACTGAAGACAGAGAACGTATATTTATTACAGAGAACGTTTATCATGACAGAGAACGTTTAGCATAGACAGATAGACGTTCTCTGGTTGTGACATACGTTCTCTGTGTTCATTTATTTAACAATATTTATACATGCTGTGTTTCATTTATTATGTCTCATTCCATTCACCCTGCAATTGTCTGGTCTGAGTAAGTTGAGTGGAAGCAAGTTTTTTCATTCCTATATGAAGAAAATATTTTCGCTTGGATTTAAGTTTTAAAGTAATTAAATATGAACGCGATTAATAAAACGGCGATAGGTATAGCTGCCGGTGTCGCCGGCACAATTTTCATTGGATATTGCATTTATTTCGACAGTAAACGACGCACTGATCCCGATTACAAGAAGAAAGTCCGTGAGCGTAAGTATTTTGTAGTTAAGACAACGTGAAGTTTGTGTAAATGTGCACAATTGCAACAAAATATATTTTAGGCAGACGTCGTACCCGAAAAAACGGAAATGCTGGCCGCAGTGGAATACCAAACCTCAATGATCATGAAGCAATTGAAAGGTAATTGTCAAGCCTTATTTATACCTTATGTAATGAAGCAACGTGCTTCTTCAAATTGTATGCGATAGTTCTAAACAAGAGTTCATAATCCATTAGAACTGTATACAGGGTGTGAAACGCTTGCAGCAATGCGTCATACATACGATTATTTATATTGACCTTTCCATACATTGTATTAAAAATATATACTTATATTACAGATATTTCCTTCAGGAAATTCAGTTGGGAGAGACTTTAATTGCTCGTGGTGAATTTGAAAATGGTGTAGAGCACCTTGCTAATGCTATAGTGGTATGTGGACAACCAGCTCGCCTCCTCCAAGTTTTGCAGACATCGCTGCCAGCACAAGTATTTGCTATGCTGATTCTTAAAATGCAAGAGTTTGGTAACCGTGCAAATTCAGAGAACGAAACACCCAAAATCGTCGCAGCTAATTCTATTGGAGGAGCCGATTTGCCTCTTGGTTTAGATGGCACCCAATCGTCAGTTATGATTGACGACCTAGAATAGTTGTTGAGGATATGTTATTATATAAAGCAAATTTGCTTATATTTAGGTTTTCATATAAATGCATATATTGTATGCCTAAATATCCATCTACAATGTTAATTTACATATGCTTTTATGTACAAATACTTCTAAAACAATTAAAATAAAATTAAAATACATTACAAATTATAGAATGCAAGTTTTCACAATTCCGTGAGGATGAAATATGTATGTATGTAATCGAACTTCGAAAGAATGTTCCAAATTAGCAATTTACGTTAAACTAAAATTTGAAGTGAATAAACCTTAAGTTGTCTATAGAAATTAAACTATCAAATTACTAACTTTCGGCGTTTTTATTGATTTGTTTTCAAACTATTAAGCAGACTTGTAATCTCTTTTTCTCTGTGTACAGCATTTTTAACCGATTGTTGTATTTCTTTTAATGAGATCGGTACTCCTCCACTTTTATGAAAAAGTCCAACTGTGTCTTCATGTACGCCGAGATGAAAAACCGTACTCGAAATACTTTCCTCGCGATATGTGGGATCCACTAGTACAACACTGAAAACGATTTGATTAGTTATTACGAATATAAAATATAATATTTAGTCAAAAATTACTTGTCGAATATACTGTACGTGCTCACAACAGGGAAAATATTTAGATGTAGCTTTTTCGTATCATCACCTATCTCTATTTTACCACTTTTCTCATCGTATGTAACTATTGGTAAACTGAGAGTGCTAAGCGCTGAGGCACAAGCTAAAACTGAAGCATCAAAAACACCGCCATCCACTTCTAAACCAATTATATCTATATAGAGACACCACACCAATTTTCCAGGATGTATGCATAAATCTTCCAATTTCAAACAATGTGATTCATATAATATTCTATATATAAAACACTCCAATATTTCGGACACATTTTGATTATTAGTCGATGAAGAAGCTTTTGAAAATGCTGTAAATGACATGTCAACATTGGGTACAATATAACCAGCAAGTGGTTTGGATGCTCGTGGTTTGGATAACTCTGCCCGTATGCCACATAAAATGTTCGAATTTCCGATTTTCGTTGCACTGGACCCCAAAGAGTGTTGACAAGATGCAATGTTTACACCGATCGGTCGATATTTATCAAATGTACGGCCATCCAAACGAATTTCATTCTCGAGAAAGTCACGAAAATGTTTAATGGGATATATCAACCTGTAATAATATAAAAATTAAATGAAGACTGTTGATCTAACACCATCCGACCACACAAAAGTTTACAAAATATCCCTATACTTTTTCATAACGCTTTATTTTCACTAAACAGAATATTGGTCGCCAAAGCAATCAATAGCATGCAGTTATATGTTCTTCTGGCTTGAATCTAATTCACTTGTTGTAATAGCTTGGAAGCTATACAGATAAACTATACAGTGCCATGTGCAAATTACTGTATCTGTTATTGGTGTAAGGAAGAGGAAGACACTGACTTGATTTATGGTTCTAAGCATGATTTGTTGTGAATTATTCATTTAACAATAGTAAGCCTAGTAAACAAAGTAGGTTGTATTGGCGATATGCATATAATAATTTATTTATTAAAAAAAATACTTACTTATGTTGTTCAGCCATAACCAATATCAATGAAAACAGTAAATAAACAGATAATCATTAAACTGTCAAATGAGAATGACGTTATTACACGTTTCGACTCTTGTTGCTAATTCTCGGGCGATTCTGTTGTTGTTGTTTTAACGGTTATTGTTTAGGATTATTAACATTAATTAAGTTTATTTTCTAAATAATGTTATGTCTGATCTGGCAATACTGTTTTACCTAAGCTTTCTACTTCTCATATCTCTTTATCATTCATTTCTATTTGTTATTATCTTTGTTTGTTAATATTTCGAAGTTATTCGAAGCAGAGAATGTATAATATAGAGAAGGTTCAATTGCGGACAGGCGTGTGAACTGTCATATGTTGAACACAATGCTCGCGGCAGACCGCAAACGACATCTGTCAAATATTAAAATACTGTGCCGAAAAAAATAAACGAATGGCCGCCTATTGACCTCTTCCTTTGCCGCTGGAATAGCTTCGCCCACAAACTACCGTAAATATGTATGCATATGTATGAGCTTGCATACATATCGACGCAGATTTTTGCGAGTCACGGAAAAATATTTTAGAATGGATAAATATTATAAATCGACAACCCATTCACCGTCGAACTGTCATCGTAACCGGTTGCTTTTCGCTTTTCGCTCTTTGCTTATTGAGTTTGTTAAAACGGTATAACGGTTTGTTCTGCGTTTATATTACGCTCGTGCTTTGTTTGTGAATTAATTTTTTATCGTTTTATATCTTTTCAATCACTTAATTTCTTAATTTGTTAAACTAAAATTCGCGTTTACTATGGCCCCTGGGGCC